ATCATTGTTTAAACTTTATCATATGAATTTATTTATTAGTTATGAGGTCTTAATTCTGTCTCTCGTTTATTAAAAGTTCTACCCACGCTTTTATACATTTCAGTCAATAGGAAAAGTATATCCTTTTTAGAACTTACTACTTACACAAGAGGCTTCGTGAATCACGCTATCCTCATGCTAATATGTACACAGCCTTACAGATTTAAGCAAAGGGGGATTTAACTATCGTTATTACTAAATATGTACAGATACTTGATCTTACCCGTATCAGAGAAGTTACGATTTTCAAATCATAACAATACGTAACATTGGATATCCTGCTTACAAATGGTTTCATAAATTCTGGGACACCTGAAAAAATTGCTCTTCCCCGATCCTGTTTTAAGTATCACCTAATTTTCGAAAACTACGTCGGATCGAAGTTCTGAGTACAGCGACATAGTTTCCGAAAAGTTGGTGATTCTTAAGACAGAATTGAGGAGATTTCTGAAAAGTGTAATTTTTTTTTTACAGTAGGTGTCTAGAATTTATGAAAAAAGCTGTAAACTGGTTAGTGCTTGGAAAACTGTTCGGAAACAGACACTGTAACGACTGAATGGGGAGCAATGTAAATATATGCGCGGTTTAGCTCCAGCCGTTAACTTAGTTAAGTGGAATTAATTCAAACATCAATGATAGTTTGGTTTTAATGAAAGTAAGATCATTGTTTAAACTTTATTATGTGAATTTATTTATTAGTTACGAGGTCTTAATTCTGTCTCTCGTTTATTAAAAGTTACCCACGCTTTTATACATTTCGGTCGATAGGAAAAGTATATCCTTTCTAGTACTTACTACTTACACAAGAGGCTTCGTGCTATCACGCTATCCTCATGCTAATATGTACACAGCCTTACAGATTTAAGCAAAGAGGCTTTAACTATCGTTATTACTAAATATGTATAGATACCTGATATTACCCGTATTAGAGAAGTTACGATTTTCAAATAATAACACTCAAAATTGAGTTTTAAACTTTAAACTTGTTTGTATACATGTATTATATTTATATAAATTATGCTTTCTGAGCATGTTAATTTGAAACTCGCTGTTTACTATATTACTATTTGATTTGATTTGATTTTTTTTTTTTTAAAAAAAAAGTAATTATTTAAGATTGATTTCGAACTCAATCGAACGCGATGTAATTTTTACTCTTACTACCGTTAAAAAAGGTAGTTTGTTTAATAAAAAATTTTTTTAAAATCTATCATCTATTGCAATTTCACTTTCATACTTTTGGGTACCTCTTCTACTGTGTCGTCTTCTTCATCTGAAGTCTAATAAATTTATTAATGACTAGAATTATCATTTTGAGGATCTAAATAAAAGCAAGAGGTTTGTCTCAGCAAATATTAATTTTCTGGTCTAATCATGTTTATTAATAATTGTTATTACTTTAGATATCTGTATAGAAGAAGATACTTCTGATGCACTAAATCAGATATTTTACCACAAAAAAATTTAATAAAGTTTTATAGTGATCATATAAGATATTTGAGAAGGAAATAAAATTGTTGTGAATATTTTTTTAGAGAAAATAATATTACTAGAAATGACTTAGAAGAACATTTGATAATATCAATATTAGATCCAATTGAAGTGGAAATATATAATAGTTTGAATAACCAAGAACAATAAACTGCCTTTTAAATACGCTCAATAACATGTCCAAAAAAGCTTTGGGCATGCCAAAATATATATCACTGTTTATAGTATCTGCAAATATAGCTTTTAATGTAATTGATAAGTTGAAAAATGAAGATACTAAATATTACACCATTATAGAATCTAACTTTTTTAGGATACTATAGAGGTGGTGAGAGAATTTTTAGGAAAAAAATTACTATTTTTATATTATTACATTTATTCCAATATTAATTGGGATTCTTGTACCAATATTATTTGGAGTGTTTTTTATTATTTCAACTGTAGCAATAGCATGAGCAGAGGCTGAAGTATTGCTTTCAAAACTCTTACGAGATTTCTTTGCATGACTATAGTATACATGAGTGCCTAAATCATTTGCTCTTAGTGAAATTTAAATGTCAAAATTATTTTTAACAGGCTAAAACTAGTGTTGGGTCTAGTGATAGTAATACTTATATGTAATAGTTATAGTCAGTGTTGTACATAGACAGCCTTTGGACAATATTTTGAACATTTTGAACAAAAAAATAAAACAAATTTACTCAAAATTTTATTAAGATAACCTATTTAAATCTTTTAAACAAAAATATTTAGAATTAAACGGAAAGTATAAATATAATTTTTATTTCTACTACTAGAATATTTAAGGCTATAATACTTAAACATTTGGATGTTAGACATGTTCAAAAAAGCTTTGGATATGCCAAAACATACAATACTGGTTATAGTATTTAGTTGGTTGCATAAGCAGCCAATCTACGTCATTATATTTTACAGCAAAATTTCACTTTACCCATCAACTCAGAATATAAGTCTAATTATTTTAATCTAAATTGGATAGAGTTTTATATATACAAATATCTAATTCGCACAGTTTTTATATGTCTAATTATTATCTCTAGTTGGGTCTGTATATCAATTATTTAGAATATATAGCTTTTCATATGTTCAATCACACCACTGGCTAAAACGTAAATAATTTAATATGTCAAAAAGTATTTAAATTATCGAATGATTTTATTCAACTATGTTCACTTAATTTTCTTGTCTATACTACTGCACTAAATGGTATGTGTGACTCAAAATAAACTTATCCAAAACTATCAATATTAATTTATTATAGTTTCAGGTTCAGAAAACTAAATTATATTCCAAATTTTAAACTTTAAAAAGCTAAAAATTCTTGAAAAAGAAAAATAATCTCAGGTCGCAGTACTGGATTGAATTTACAATATCTCATATAGGATACAGAAAATCTGCGATAGCACAATCTGCGCATAAAGTTAATTTTTGTTACATAGC